GGTCCAGGTTTGACCAAAAACCTTCCCTCGTTTCACAGATAAAGCAGACATCATCACCTCTTGGTTGTCATGACTTCTTGCAGAACAGACTCTGAGAAACCATGTAAATGTCCCTAATGGATGCACAGCTGGCAAGCTGGTGGGGTGAGGGCAGTTTCCAGCACATCATCTCCAGTCTCGCGGAGCCACACACACATGGTGTTGGGCAGAGATGGACTTCCACTTGACCCCGACCACTGACATCTGACCTTTTGCATCTGTGAGAGCATGTGCTTAACACTTGTCAGCTGCACTTGCTTGAAGGAAGGGAAGTGGGGACAGGAGGAGATAAAGGTAGGTCTCTGGCAGGCATGCTTTCTTTACTGAGCACCTACTATGGGCCAGGTACTGCTGTGGACACTTGGGATAGATGGGCGGCAGTAAGAAGAAAAAACCCAAAGATTCCTGTCCTCATGAGAAATTACATCCTGGGGGTGGGGGTGGGTAAGCAACGCAACAGAGATGAAAAAATAAATGATACCGGAGGGTGATAAATACTGGGAAAGGGGGAGGCAGAGCAGGATGAGGGGACTGGCCTGGGGACAGAGGGGGTCAGGAGGGGCACTTGAGCAAAGACTTGTGTCTGGGAAAAGCGTGCCAGGCAGTGGGAACAGCCACTGCGCAGACCCTAGCGCCAGGAGGGAAGGGGCAAGAAAGTAACACAACCTGACTGGCGTGTATCTAAGAGGACCAGGGGCTGTGCTTAGGACAGACTACCAGGGACAAGGACAGAGCCAGGCAGGTGTCACAAAGCCACTCTGGCACGCAGCCAGGTGGGAGATCAGGGTGGCCACGTGGCAAGAGGAGAGAAGACCTCAGGTGCTGCGAAGGCACAGCCGAGGTATCTGCCTGACAAACAAGTGTGGGTGAGAGAGGTCAGGATTTAGCCAACTAGAAACAAAACAAAGGGACACCCTACAACACCCAGCCCTGGGAGCCACCAGAACAAGGTGGGAGCCACCAGGGCAAGGCTTTCCTGCTCACAGCCATCATGTAAAAGTGAGCAAGGGGCTCAGGGCAGAGTCCTGCGAGACCCCAGCCGGGCTCCAACAAGTGGGGTCCACAGTAATGAGGTACTGGACAGACGCTTCCCAAGGGACTGGCACCCAGGTGACAGACAGCTGCACAACATTGTGCCATTAAAGAGAAAATCCAGAGTGGCAATTCAAGCTAAAGAAGAGAGAATGAGGATTTGGGGCCAGAGGGGCAGGTACTGCAGAGAGATTTTTTTTTAAGTTTGTTTATTTTGAGAGAGGGAGTGAGAACATAAGTGGGGGCAGAGGGGGAGATAGAGAAGGAGAGAGAGAATCCCAAGCAGGCTCTGCACTACCACTGCAGAGCCCAATGTGGGGCTCAAACTCATCAACTGAACCATGAGATTACGACCTGAGCCGAAAATCAAGAGTCGGACACTTAACTGATGGAGCCACCCAGGCACCCCACCGCAGAGAGATTTTAACAACAGTTTAAAGTATATGAAGTTCTTTGGGGCAACTGGGTGGCTATTGGTTGAGCGTCAACTCTTGGGTTTTGGCTCCAATCATGAGCATGGAGCCTGCTTATGATTCATTGTCTCTCTCCCTCCCTCTTTCTCTCTCTGCCCCTCTCCCTGGCTTGCACTTGCTCGGAAGGAAGGAAGGAAGGAAGGAAGGAAGGAAGGAAGGAAGGAAGGGAGAGAGAGAAAGAGAGAAAAAAGAGAGAGAGAGAGAGAGAGAGAGAGAGAGAAAGAAAGAAAGAAAGAAAGAAAAGAAATAAAAGGAAAGAAAGAAGAGAAAGAAAAGAAAAGAAAAGAAAGAGAGAGAAGTTCTTGCAGTTACTGAGCAGTTCTCGAATCCCACCCAAGGCAGAAAAAAGAGAACATCCTTTTGTCTGACGGGCGCAGGCACAGCAGGTCAGACACACAGAAAAAAATCTCATAACAGAAGTCATGTTGGGGTCAGAGCAAGGGGACAAAGGTTTGGTGTCTCAGGATGGGTGTCACTGGGACTGGATGCTCTGTTGGGTTCTGTCCCGCCCGTGGCCCCTGGCTCCACTGAGACGCATTTGCCAAAAAAATAGTAACAACAACCCCAAACTGTGATGTGTTATAAATAACGGTACAGTGTCAACGTGAGCCGAAAAGAGCACAGGCATCTTCCTACGACATGCGAGGAGGAGTAAAAAGACAGCGCTCCGCTCACCTTCCAAACCCACTTCCAGGCCACCACCCAAAACAGAAAGCAACTTTGTGCTTTATTCAAAAACAAACCCCAAATGCTTCACTCATCTATTTTTTTTTTTTTTAATTGAAAACAGACAACACCATTCCAAAAATAGGCCTCTGCATCTTCTTGCCAACCTTCTCTCTTCCCGGAGGCCCCCTGGGACTTCCGTCAAAACCTACCCAAGCGTGTGCCCAGCTCCCAGCTCCCGGCCAGGCCGCTGGCGCCATGATGAGCCAGAACCCGTCTCTGTGCGCGGCCCGCAAAAACCCCGCCTGGGGGCCCTCCGGGCTTGTCACGAGGCCCACGCTCAAGGTCTCTTTCCAACCTCTCCTTGAGAGCTGGGGACACAACCTTTTGAGTGACATGTACGGATTCTTTTCGGTGCTGGAGACAATCCACGCACCTGTCAGTTGGAAAGCAGCTTCCCCACAACGTTCTATACCTGAACTATGGCAAAGGTCACATGACTCTATACGATTATGGCAGAGAGTCACCCCACAGTATACTCAGAACGGGTGAATTTTATGGGATGCAAACTATACCTCAATAAAGCCGTCTCAAGAAAAAGTCAGCGTCCACCTCACCTGGATGTTTCTGTTCAGCACTGGACCTGAAGTGGGGGCCTGTGTTGTCTCTACATGTGGACAGCCTCTTGGCCCCTGTGGTTCAGAGGCTGGAACAGAGACTCTGCCGAGGGGGAGGCTGGGGCCAGGGTTCCAGGGTGAGGAGGAACCTGGTGAAGGTGCTTCCAGGGGACAGGCTTCCCGCCAGCAGCAGGAAGAGAGGACACTGACAGGGAAAAGAAAGGGCACCCAGAGGAAGGTGGGTGAGCTACACAGCACGCCAGGGTGATGGGGGGGCTGGGTGGGGGAGTGGGAGGAGTTTCATGTTAGATTGAGCCATCTGCCACTGCCAGTTTTGTAGGTCAAAACGGCTGAACACTGGCCCAACCTCACATGTCCGTGTGTGCTATGGATGGGGAGTTCAGACTCCGGGGTCTGCTTACAGGCTGAGTGACCGAGGGCTCATCACTTAAACTCTACGGGCCTGCATCTTCTCACCTATAAACAGGATGGCACAGCCACACCCCGGAAGCACACTTTGATTTCCACGTTTTAATACATACACAACGCCCAGCACATGGCAGGCTCACCAAGGGCTCAAGGAGGGAGCATCCTTCTTTCCTGCTCCCCCACCCACCTCTTCGCCTTATGTGGCCGCCTCCAGAGCAGGCGGAAGAGCAGAATGAAGCTTGCACGGCCAGCCTCCCACAGGCGTCTCTCTTCCCTTGTAAGACCAGTCCCCGAATATGTCAGGACAGTTCTGCTTGGCGAAGGAGACCCCCACTTTCCTGATGTTACTACAGAAATACGAGAGCGCCGACTGTCCCTGGGGCCCAGGGCTGTGGCTGGCATCCTCTATGTGGGGGAACCAGGAAATCAAACCAAAAGACGAACGGCCCAAAGGCAGAGCCGGGGGCAAAGTGAACCAAAGGCCCTGGTTACCGACACACCCAGTGGGTAAGGGTGTTCGCTGCCAGGAGCCACCAGGTGGGCCTGGGTGGCCTCTGCAAAGCCATCATGCAAGGCCGTGAGTGCTCATGGCCAGCTGTGCTAAAGACTATGGGAGGTCATGTGGAGAAAAGGCACATGCACCACCCAGCTGGGGCCCAGGAGGACACTCGCCAGGAGCAAAGTGATCTGATGCTCAGCTGCCCCCGACGTGGTGCCCCCAGATGCTGCTGCAGCTGAGGGCCACGGCGCCAAAATACAACTTCTCTACAAGAAGTGTCCTGGGCTGGTCACTCGGTGTACTCTTCCTTCAGTCTGCAGGCAACTTTAGCTAATGTCATATAGGCAGGAGCAAGGACAGCCAGACTCCAGTGGGAGCAGGGTGAGAGGAGATGCTGCAGAGGAAAGCTTCGGTTCCTTTTGTAGAAGCCTCTACTGTGTGGGGTCCTTCCTGCATTCCTGGACCCTCACCTGTTTCTAGGAGGCCAGAGACCTACGCTAGCCAAGTGTCTGCTGGAACAGGTCCCAGCCAGCTAGTGCATTGTCCTTGGGGCCGGTGAGCTGATGTCCATGAGCCATGGGTGCAGGTCAAGGCACACAACTGTGGCAGGGAAGAAATCCATCAGCCTGTTTAACTCTCCCGGTGAGTTAGCTGGGCAGGTATGAATTAAGCTCTGATTTTCTGCAATGGAGGACATTTCATTCAGTCTTTCAAAGGCACACCGAGTGTCCAAGCCTGGGACTTAGAAACCTTGCCCTCTCGGGCTCCATAGACCCGTGGGAGGTATGAAAACACATACAAAACAGGACATGCCGGAGAGATACACCACAGTGTGAATCAAAGTGTAGTACAATCCAGCGGAAGGGACATTCGTTCACTCAAAAGGTTCTTAACTTTCTTGCCAATAGATACCACAATACCATGACGGTGTGGCTTCCAAATTTACTAAGGAGAGACCCCCAGCAAGTCTGGCCTACGATTCAGGCGCCTAAGCCTGACAAAGCAGTGGCCTCGCCTGCCTCCACACTTGCATATGAGGGGTTGGGAGGGCTCATTCTTAAGGGGGGAAAAAAACGTGCTCTTGGCTTAATGCCTCAGAGTAATAAACCACCCTTTAAAATCGCACCAAAATGATCACGTGTTGTCACTGTGGTGGCTCTGAGCTGGCAGCCAGAGCTCTGTCTCCAGCAGCTGCTCAGAGCCGATGGCACTGCCCGGGCACCGCAGGGGGCAGCTTCCACTCACCAGACAGCGGGTCTTTGCCAATCATCAAAACATTGGGCAAATTCATTACGATCAGCTGCTGGAGAACTTCCTACAGAAACAAAGGGGAAAAGATACCGTTAAGAACAGGAAACAAAAATAAAGAATGATTAAGAAAATTACAGTTTATCAAGTCACTGGACGAAACGTGCGGCCGTTGAACGGTAACTATGAAGGATCCTATAGAATAGGAAGGAATATTTACAATACAAATAAATGTGAAAAGTCAAAGTTAATTATACTTCAGCCTTGCTCATGAACAAATAAAAGTCATGCTTGCATCTGTACAGGGACCTCGGGAAAAAGATCTACTGCATGCTAGGATAGAGGATTAGGTGTAAGCTTCTTTTTAAGAGATGTCTTTATTTTTATTTTATGGTCTGTTCATGCAATTAAAAAAAAGTACAGAGTAAAGATTACAGAGATGCTTCTGAGTCCCCACGACCTGATGATTCAGGATCCTAGCATTCAGTAGGCCTTTGGTATAAGCTGTAAATGAGGCGACTTCTCTCCTTTACGACACTGGCTTCCCTGGGAGAGGGGATAAATCACAGCTAATCTGCACCGTTAGAGGCAGCGCGCGGAAATGAGCCGCCTTCTGGCCCTCACACCAAGGGGCTTTGAAAGGAGGCCCAGGCACCAGCCATCAGTCATGGCCCTGTGTCTGGGGTCTTTAACAAGCTCCCCCTGGGAGTGTGCCGGCTCCGACCCACCGCTCATGTTGCCCAAAGCACTTCTCAGGGCAGGTCTGCCTCCCCTGCGCAGATGTACCTGGTTTTTCACAAATCAGAAGATAAAAGTCTAATTTTACAGAAGACCAGTAAGGGGATAGGTTTCTTAGGTATTCTTGGTCCTTACAAAAGTGGTCACTATAGAAACTTCACCAACAAAGCTCCTCTTAGGCCTTTTTAAAAATGTTTCCAGTGAGACAGCTTTTTTTCCAGAGTCACTCTATTGCACAACACGAGGGTCTCTGTATTCTGTATACTGCCAGCTAGCACTGATGGAGACAAGAGGGACAATCACACAATGCCCTAATCCCACAGGGTCCAGCTGAACACCCCAGAATGATGTCCAAATCATCAGATTAGAGTGAGAGCCTTGGCAGGCATGCCTGAAGAGGCCAACACCTTCAAAAAACATATAAAGTGATTTTATCTCCCCCTCACTGTTTCTATGGCTCCTGTCCACACCAGAACTTGGGAGGAGTGGATGTGGACCCAAACACACTGGGCCCCTCCCCACTCGATGATGGGGTCACAGGTCACCACATCAGAGATCCTCATGTTTTCTCGAACACGTCTTAGTTGTAAATACCTGTGCTGGACAGAAGTGTGAACCGTGTAGCAGCCTCAGCCCGCCTTCAGGGCTTGAAAGAAGTCCACACACACACACACACACACACACACACACACACACACGCACGGTCTCTTAATTGAATGCACTCACCCCAAAGGATTCCACAGTCCCACCCTGGGGCAAAACACACATCAACAGTAAAATCAGCAAAATCCACTTTCCAGCTTGCTCATCCAGCAAAAGGAAGGACTCCAGGCCAGATTAGCCCATTCTGGCACGGAGTCCCTGCTCTGCCCCAACGGTAAACTCAAGTGCGCAGCCCAACTTCTGGAGGATTTACTTGTTATCACTGTCCAACCAGTATAGTCCCTTTTGGAGTCTTGGCTGGTTTCGCCCTGCCACCGTCCAGGAGTCTGGAGTGCTAGCACTATTATCGGGGTGCTTACGTTTATAAGAGATACAGAACATGAAAGCGTCTTGAAGGACTCTGAAATGACGCAAAGTGGTATTTCTATGCTAACGATGAGCTCAGCAGAAGACTGCTGGGAGCATTGCTCGGAAATATTGCTAGAACACCCACATACTCCCCTTCCAAAGCAGCATGTTTAACTTTGTCTAATCAGTACTAATTTTCCCACAAGAAATAGGTCATTTGTGCAATCAAGAAGTAATGCTTTATGAACAGAAGATATCTTTTATTTGTTCCTTTCAAAACACACTGTGGGTCTCCCAAGATCGAATCCTGGGGCCCAAAGCACTCCTGAGACATTAACCATCTCCCCACCCCCACCCCACCCCCGCCAAGGACTACCAATCACATTTTCAGCAAAAGCAGGCTTCAAGATAGAAGCAGCAAGGTCAGAGAAATACAGCGTGAGACACAAATTAACTTCAAATGTTCTAGTAACCGTCTTAAAAAAAGATTTTTTAAAAAGGTGTATTTATATGAAAATATCCTAATAATGCCTTAAGATAATATATATCCAAAATATTATTTCACCACATAATTAACATAAAATCATGAATGAGATACTTTACATTCTCTTTTCATACTATGGTCTCTGGTCTCAAAGCCCATCTCAATTTGGATGCTAAATTCTCACTGGAAACACCTGATCTGCAAAAGTAGCTTCACACACCCCAAGATGTTCCAAACACACTTAAAAAAGTTTTTCTAAATAACTGAATCAAGTATCAGTTTTTAAATTTAACTTTCACTTCCTCAGTCACACTAGCCACATCTGGAGGCCCCAACAGCCCCATGTGGCCAGCAGCTGTCACACTCCCCGACACCAGTGACAAGGGGACTCAGCAGAGATCAGTCCCTGAGGAAAGCCGTGTCTCCTGGTCCCCTCGGGGTGGCAGGGCCTCCAAGGCGACAGGCCAGGCCCTCCATCTAGTGGGGACGTGAGGTGGTTGCTGACGAGGAGGCCCTCCCGCCTGGTACTCAGAACAGAAAGCCACTGTGGAGGCCGCAGCTGACACTGGCCGGCTCAGCAGGCACCTGGTCACACCCTGGCTGGCTGCGTGGGGTGGGCAAGAGCCAGGACAGAGAACACTAGCCCAGTGGTGTGCTCTGAGCAGCCCTCAAATGTGCCAGCAAGCCCTCCTGGCACCAGCCAGGCCTTTGCAAAAAGCAGAAGCAAAGGCCAATGCCACATCCCGAGGCAATGATGAAGGACAAGGGCAGCCTCTGTCTGGTCACCCCATCCGTGTGGCCTGATGGGCAGGAGGGAAGAGTCAGGGTCAGGGTGCAGCCTTCCTGAGACCCCACCCTTTGGAGGGACTGGGGTGGGGTAAGGGTTAAATACCGAGATCCAGGGTGGATTCTGTACCTCTTCCTTCTCCTCCCCATACCCCCTCTAAGTTTGTTCCCAGATCCTAATAGAAGATGCAAGGGGGATCCCAGATGCTCCTTTTCATAAATGAAGTTGCCCTAATTGTGTCCTGGAAGGATCCCATGGGTAACTGCTGTAAACAAATTCAAGGAAAAGTCACAAGAAGGGATGAAAGGAGGGTGGGTGTTGCGGGCAGCAGAGGCAGGGCAAGTGCTCTGTAATGTAAAAAGGGGACAGAACCTAGGGGACACCAACCAGCGAGGCTGCCAGTCCAGGAGCGAGAATCTCATCCTAATTCCGAAGCTCCTCCCAGGGCTGTGAGCCCTACAGGCTAGGGGAGAATGGGACAGGGCGGGGACACTCCCCTGGAAGCGTCTGTCACCCCAGTTGCTGGGGGTTGGGGGCTGCATCTGTGTTTGCACATGGTGTCTGTCAACAAGCCTAGAGACTCACCCACCCTCGGATTCCAGCTTCCGGATTCCAGCGGCAGCGGCCACCGGAGGTGACCCAGGGCCCGTGGCCTGGCTCTCAGAAGTCACCAGTGGGGAGAAGTTCTAAGAACAGAACCAGGAAGCTGAGTGCAAGGAAAAGGCTTCCTTCCCATCAGAATCCTCTCCTGACAAGTACAAATGTACTCGGTGGGGGGAAACCACGGGATGCGGGAGCCCCATTCTGGGCTCCAGTTAATGGGGTGCTGGTAGTGACAGTAAGACGATGGGAGGATGGGGATGAACAGATTCCAGAGGCACCTGGATACACACACAATGCACAACTAAGCAAGCAGCCACTGTGGACCACACTGCAGCACCCAGGGGCACGGCTTCACTGCCCGTGGCCAAACACTGGTCCTGCTGGTCTGTGAGTCTACCTCGGGGCCCAGGTGGCAATTCGGGCTGGCTCCACAGTGTCACGCTGCACCCTCGTCACTCCCTACTGTCACTGGCCATCCCCCACCAAGCTCCCTCCAACCTCACTCCTCCCAGGGAGGCTGCAAAGTCTCCTGAACGCCTGCACTTGGTGGGTGTCAGCAGGGTAAAGTCTTAGGATGAAAAGATCTGGAAGTTTCCATCACTGCCCTACGGACAGGGTTGTCCTGCTAGAGGCAGGAGGACACAGCGAGGGGGAGTGGGAGGCCTGGGGCGGCACAGCAGGGGCTGGGAGGGACCCGGGATGGACCCAAGCACTCCTGGTTGCCTCAATCCACCTCCTCTGGCCCAGGGCCTGATGTGACCCCCCCTCCTCATGCACCTTCCCACCCTCAGCTCCCAGGGGCTTGCAGATGCGGCTCAATTTCTGCGTCTGTCCAGTCACTCGCTTAAACTGTTAGGTTCTGTGGGAGCTGGGCCCCCTAATTCCACGTTGGCCAGTCCCCATTCAGGACTTATGCACACTGCACCCACACAACCATGTTCATGCAGCTGAATGTCCCGGAAGCCCCCAGGTGAGCCTGGACTTTCTCCCAGGACCCCACCCTTGGCTTAGGAACAGGGGACTCAGCTCAGGTCCCTGCAAACTTACCTCTGGGAATAAGTGCACGTACCCCAAACTCTTGGTAAACTGTCTACTGCACAACTGTCAACAGCAGAGTATTAAACGGAGACCCTAACACACCCCTACCAAAACCTCAACATACAAATGAAAGGAAGTATGGTGTGGGTGGGGGGAGTCAGTGTGATACGGGAGTAGCACTTCAACACTGAGGCTACCGATGGGTAGGTGGTCCTGGTTAGAACACAAGATGCCTCAGTGAATAGAAGGACACACAATTCTATGTGCAGTACTGGGGTTGAAAAAAGAAAAAGAAACCCTCAAAGGGAATGCACCAGAATGACACCACATTCTTCACTCGTGTTGTCAGAACAAGAGCAAGTTTTCCAGTATTTTCTAAAGGGCCTGTAATGTGCTCATATCTATG